GCGCAGTCGAAAATCAGCAGTTGCTAATCTGCACTACATCAGTAATGAGATCGATGGCCTGGCTGGAGGACCCCACATGGTCATTATGTTTAATCTGGGGCCCCATTTCACCACATACCCTCTGGATTTCTTCACCCATAGAGTGTTGAGGATCCGCAAAGCTGTTCTAGCATTGTTACAGCGGGCGCCTGACACTACCGTTATAATCAAGACTGTCAACACTGGCTATAAGGTAAGCCTATGCAGCAGGGGTCCACAACTCTGGACCTCGAGATCCACTTTCCTGCAGAGATTAGCTGCAACCTGGATTAAACACACCAACCTGCAACTTTGTAGAAATCCTGAAGACCTTGATTAGCGTGTTCAGATGTGTTTGATTAGGGTTGGCACTAAACTTTGCAGAAAATTGGATCTCGAGGTCTAGAATTGAGGACCCCTGCTATACAGTTTCATGTGTTTAAATACAAGGAGGCCACACTGTGATGGCAAGTTTAAGGTTGATGTTGCGTTTCTCTGTCTTTATAATAGGATATTTTCGGGAGTGATTGGTATTCTCTTCAGTTGGACAGAATTCTGCGTTGGGCTTTTCAGGATGTTGATGTTTATATTCTGGATGTGTGGCAAATGACGGCCTGTCACTACAGCAAAGAGAACATTCATCCATGCCCTGTAATCATCAAAAACGAGATTGACATTTTACTCTCTTTTATTTGCCCTGTATAAATTTAAATGATAAAATTTTACTACATTTGAAAATTCAGGTCATGTGTAGAAAAACCTCTCGGTTACGTATGGTAACCCTTGTTCCCTGAAGGAGATCACTGACGAATTGGGATCTCAATTCGTCGGTCATCCGACGTGACATCGAGAGTGACCGACTGAAAGGGAACTACCCTGAAATACTTTGTGACTGTTTTAAATAAGTGTGCACTTGTGTACTAAAAACAGGTCACATAAACACTGGAATTAATTGCAGTTGTATTCCTGCATCCATATGGATTTGTCACTCCTGATGCTTGTCTACTATACGCATACTTTAAATTTTCACAAACCTAACCAAATATATTTAAGAAGTTATATTGGATTAGGTAAAATGTAAAAATACAGATTAAATAAATAAAAATTAAGATATAGCACAATGTTACATAGTTTCTTGAATTGGCACCAGGGAAACACATAGTTGATGGACACACAATTCACAAAAGATCACTATTAATCAAACATTTTGTCTTTGTAGAATCATGCTTGTAGATTATATCAACTGAACTCCTTTTTAGTAAAGTGAATGTATCCCCGCCTGTCACACGGAAGACCGGGCTTTGATTCCCCAACAGTGAGACCTAGGGGGCAATCGTGGCCTAATGATTAGAGAGTCAGACTTGTAACCCAAAGGTAGTGGGTTTGAGTCTCTGTACCGGCAGGGATTGTAGGTGGGCGGAGTGAATGTACAGAGCTTTCTTCCACTTTCAATACCAAGACTGTGGTGAGACCCTTGAGCAAGGCACTGAACCTCCAACTGCAGCAAAAAATGGCTGTGTGTGTGTTCACTACTCACTGCTGTGTGTGTGTGCACTTAGATGGGTTAAATTCAGAGCACAAATTCTGAGTATGGGACATCATACTTGGCCACACATCAGGTCCTTTTCCTTTTCCTTTATATTACACAACTAAAAATCATAATGATTATGAGTTCACTAAGGACACTAAATGCCAGCAGCAAGTAATAGGTATAATATAATAATCAATCATCTCTATCATGATTCTTAAACGATTCTGAATTCTAAGTTTAAATTTTAACTGCAGCTGAGTGATGACATTTATATAGAAGCCTATTTCCGCCACATAAAAAAAATTCATTGGTAAACAAAATTATGACATAATTATGACACAAAAAGTCAAAATTATTAATTTCAAAATTGCAATTATGACATAACCATGAGATTTAAAGTCAAAATAATGGCATACTAAGTAAAAATAGCCTTACTCTGGAGTTGGTTCACCCTCCGCCTATGACTTAGTATGGCATAATTTCAACATTTTATGTTACAATTTTGAATTTTAAAGCCATAATCACAACTTAGTATGTAATAACTATCACATTTAAAGTCATAACTGTAACTTACCAACGCATGATTTATTTTTCTTACATGGCAGAAACGGGCTTCCATATGTTTCTCAGCCAGGCCAGGCTCCAGCTCTAAAACATAAAGTGGGCAATAAGATGCCTATAATAAGATGTATTTTCTTTTATTATTACATATATTCAACAAAAAAAAAAAAAAAACATAAGAACATAAGTGCTATTGTGGCTGCTGTGTGTCACATGACGACCTCCCCCTACTCGTGCCCCCTCAAAAATAATGAGTCCATGACTACCCTGAGCGTAAGTATTTCAAAGTATTCTAAAGTATTTAGTTTAAGATACTAAACCTGAGTAATCTAACGAAATACATTACTGATTACTTTTTAAAGCATGTATTTTGTAATCTGTAGTGAAATACATTTTAAAAGTAACCTTCGTCCACTCCACTTTTAGACATGCACTAGCAAACTTCACTAAGCACTTCCCCTCGGGGGAATCCCCGCTGCCATTTTGAAATGCATTCCACTTCGTGAAGTGGACAAGGGAAGTTTATACAGACAGACCCTAACCCTTGACCCCTCGATTTTGACCGAGGGAGCGAGTCTGCTTCACATGTACACGTCAGGCCACAGATTGCATTTAATTTATCCCCACCCCAAACAACTCTATAATATATTTATATATATATATATATATATATATATATATAAATATATTATAGAGTTGTTTGGGGTGGGGATAAATTAAATGCAATCTGTGGCCTGACGTGTACATGTGAAGCAGACTCGCTCCCTCGGTCAAAATCGAGGGGTCAAGGGTTAGGGTCTGTCTGTATAAACTTCCCTTGTCCACTTCACGAAGTGGAATGCATTTCAAAATGGCAGCGGGGATTCCCCCGAGGGGAAGTGCTTAGTGAAGTTTGCTAGTGCATGTCTAAAAGTGGAGTGGACGAAGGTTACTTTTAAAATGTATTTCACTACAGATTACAAAATACATGCTTTAAAAAGTAATCAGTAATGTATTTCGTTAGATTACTCAGGTTTAGTATCTTAAACTAAATACTTTAGAATACTTTGAAATACTTACGCTCAGGGTAGTCATGGACTCATTATTTTTGAGGGGGCACGAGTAGGGGGAGGTCGTCATGTGACACACAGCAGCCACAATAGCACTTATGTTCTTATGTTTTTTTTTTTTTCCTTTTTATTCGAAACATTCGAAGCCCAAACGCATTAACTATATCATGAAATATCTGGATTCTCACCTATGTTAGTTGATCTATAGTGGGCGATGTCTAACATAGTCTATTAACTATACATAAAAACCTGTCTGTTTACTTAAGTAACAGATATGGGTGTCATGCCATAACATAGTTTTAATACGACTGACTTTATATTTAATGTGAATTTAACATTGAAAGTTAATGTGAATAAAATTACCTATTGTAAGTTAGGCTACTTAAATTTACCAGTGTTGATTTTCCAGTGTTACAATAAAGTGTTAA